TTGTTCGTTAACATTCATATAAGACATTTTACTTAAACTCATGAACGTTTACAATCAACCATCTAAAATTAAGATCGTCAAATGAAAGAAATAGTTCTATACTGCATTAAGTGTATACTTTCAAAAATGGCACCAAGATAATGTCTGAAATAAGATGAGAAAGAAACGCTAGTGGAACATACTCCACTAAATCAAACGTATATCTAATCTAGAATATAATGGGAAAGCATCCTCGAAAGAAGGAGGTCCTACAAAATCCGAATGAATGCTCCACGTCTGGATAGCTTCAGTGTCAACCTGTAAGCTCTAATATCCACCTGTGCCTGCACCTAAAAATGTTGAGTATATGGGATTAGTACACACTTGTACTAAGTATGGTTATATGCAAGCACACACCAAGGACATGCATGATTAAGAAGATCTCTTTCCTATCGATATGAATTATCGAATATCAAGTCAGTGGACTTGCAAAATTTTGATTAGGAAAGTCATGCCATGAGAGTGACATGCATCATCATACTTATCATTTTGCAATCAACACATAACATATTACACATATCATATCACGTAGTTCATATCATTATTTCATATGCCATGAGAACTTGGAATCATGGACTTGACATTAGGACTTCCCAAAATGAGGGCTCAACATATGGGACCTCAACTAGGTAGCTTTCTTCAGCAAACACAGAGTCTGCTTTATTCGTTCATACGTACTTCATTTTCGTTCATTCATATACTAGTGCAATCAGCAGTCATACCTAGGATGCAGTTTAAGACTCTAATCGGTTTTGCTGTGCAATGACCAAGAATAACCTAATGTCACTACTTAAGTCTAGCTCACCTCTTGATTATCCTATCCTAAAACCTTTGGTACCATTCATTCATTAGGTGCATCATTTGAGGCTGGCCTTATTCTTTCTTTGGTAACTTTAACCTTAACCGACATAGATCATCTGAGGATAATGAAATCCAATGTCTGCCACATACCAAAAAGACGTGGAATCACCGGCCAAAGTGACCCAAACATGCTAGCGTTTATAGAGAGTCGAATCCTGCTAGATACCTATATTGGCAGTATAGGTTAAAAGACTAGGATCTATAAGGAGATCCATACTCGTCATGCTGGACAGTCTCATCTCATGAGAGTTATGTGAACCACCGCCCTTTCCGAAGGAAGGCATCACCGCTCATAGCTAGCCTATCGGTGCTCTGTATAAAGTTTCATTACATTCAACTCATAAATCATGGAAGATGGCTTCTAGAATGAGGACATCATATCTCATTAGATAATTTCTCATCTCATCATTAGCATTAAGTATGCATAACTCCGATACTTTCATTAGTCTGTTTATAGGGACTGATCTCTTCATTAACTTTACACTCTCATAGGTGAGTACGTTTTGGTAACATTTACATAGGCTCATTTGAGATTGATCTCATATTTCACATTAGTCTCTTATCATATTGTAACCTCATTCATTAACTTTAACACATTTACTTTTCATAATTACTCACCCCTTCACATGAATTTTCATTTCATCATATGTCAATGCACTTGGCAATTTAGTGTGTTTCATACTCTTACTTAACCCTTCTAGGGTTACATCATTTTCTCACATACATCTTAGACTCACTTACTTTTAAACGTATTCTAGACTTATGAGTCCACACATACAAGTCATGAGGCTTCATTCATAGTTATTCTATGTGATTCATGTTTACCCAAGATTATTTGGTACAAGACTTATGCATCATTTAGATATGCCATGATATTGATTTCAATCTTTAGAGGCAACATACATTAAATATTTACTTATGTATGACTTATGTGTCAATACGGAATTGGTCAAGGGAACCCTATTTCGAATCCCTTGGACAACACTTAATCTTATTTTAAACTTGATAATTGCATTTTCTAGATTTGGGGGAGCCTAGTTCGATTCTCATCAACCCCATAATATTTCCTTTTTGTTTCTCCTATACTTTTTCTTTTAAGTCAAGGAGGTTATGGGTTCAATCCCCCACAAACTTATTATTTTTCTTTTAAGTTATCTCTTAACTTTCTCACCTATCCAAGAGGTTGTGGGGTCAATCCCCACTCTCCAAATTTATTTTTTCCTTTATTTTTCTCCTAACTCTCTCATCTATTCAAGAGGTTGTGGGTTCAATCCCCACTCACCACATATATTTTCCTTGCATTTTTATCACGAAATTTTTATGAAGTTTTTATTTGGTGAGGTCATGGGTTAAATCCCCAATGAGCTCACATTTTAAAATTTTTTTAATTGAATTTAATATTTTTAAAAGTTAGTCTCCTCAATCCATTTTTGCCTTAATCTTTTGATGATTTTTTTGTAGCTTTCATGTAATGTTGTCTTGGATTCGATCCTTAGTGATTTCACTTATTTTAGATTCATTTTTCATTGCATTTTATATTACTTTGATTGGCTGAACACAACCTAACAAATGTTGGAAACTTGTTCACTATTTGCAGCTTCTTTTATCAGCATTTTTTCATTAGATCATAGGACGTTTGATGAAACATTTGGTGCATATTAAAGTATATTTTATTCCTGTTTATATTTATCCAAGAATTACCTTTAAATCCAGCAACATTACACCACTTTTGCACATCATGATTTACACAAACATTTGCACAAACATCACTTTTCACATACTTTCTGTTGGCATAAATTGATATGCTTACAATTCCAAACACATAATCATGAACACATTATCACGAAAATCACCCTTCATACTCAAATTACCACAAAAAATACCAACAACATGATCTCTAGCCTATTTCAAATTGATATTAGAAGGATACTAGGGACAAGGAGTTTGACAAGAACGGGAACAACCCTAGTTTCAAAATTCGTTGAATTCGTGGAAAGGAAATTCTCTTGGAGAAAGGAGTCCAGGAGAGAAACCCATACTTTAATTTTGTGTTTTTCAACACAAGAACTGCTTTCTAAAACCCTCTCCAAATTCATATCCATGTCCCGAAACTTCAACACAAAACTCGATGGAAAACCCTTCTTTTTGCTTTACGTATTTGGTTAACTTTTTGTCTATGTTTTTGACGTGTAAATTCATCAAGTATGAAGAAATTTTGGTTGTGTTTTCGGTGCTTGTATTTTGTTAGAAAGTATACGCAAAAGTGAGAGAATTGATCGTGAAAGAGAAAGGATAAACGCGAGAAGTCAGTGGTTCCTTAGGATAAGGATTGTAGTTTTAGACTTAGTCAAAATAAGGTTTTGTTAGATTGTAAAAATCAAATTTATTTAAATCACACGTGAAATGACCTTATTTCCCTTACAAAAAAATCAGATTCTAAACCCCATTTTAATTCACATGGCAACGCTTCCGTCGAGGATCAAACCCGTGACGTCCCCATCGCGAAAACAGGTCCCTTCGGATCGACCCAACTCAAACTGCCCCATTAATTAATTAATTAATTAATTGATAATAATAATAATAATATGATTTTACTTTTTCTTAAATCAGAATTTAAATATTAATTAATTAAATTAATTCTCCAATATAAATAATCAAGTTAAATCATTACTCCCACCTAGGTTCGAACCCGGGTGGAGCAACATTTTTCTCAATGGGTAATTTCAGCCCTTTCTACCCAAAATGCCCCTCCACCATATTAATGAAATAATTCATTACATATTTAGGATAATTACGATACTACCCTTAGCCTTGAAAAAGACCATTTTACCCATAGATCCTCCAAACATAAGATTTCCCCTTTTTTTTAAGTCCGGTATAGAATCATGCGGGTAAATCTTCATATTCAGGAGCCCTACATGGATGGAACCAACCTTTCATAACTCAAATAAATCCCCACGTTAGTTGGTTTGTCTGTAGCAAGGGTTCAGAGGGTCTCGTTCTACACGCATCAATTCGTGTGAAACTGATATATTCGTAGGCATTCTAGACACACTAAACGTTACTTAGCATATTCATTTTTAGGGTTGTTACACCTTCACCCGAAACAATAGGGCCTAAGAAGTCCACAGACAAGCCAAAACTCAAATTTTGATAACTTGTCATACATCTCCTTATCTCTCAACATCTGAAGAACAACCCTTACGTGACTCGCATAATCTTCTTCATTCCTTTAATTAATCAGTATGTCACAAATGAAGATGATGACAAAAATATCTTAATAAGGCTTGAAGATTCTGTTCATAAGATCCATGAATGTTGTAGCTGCATTTGTCAAACAAAAGGACATAATCAAAAATTCTTAACGCTCTTACCTTGTTCTAAAAGTTGTGTTGGGAATATTACATTCCCTTACTCTCAGCTGATGATAGCCTGATTTGAGGTCAATCTTAGAAAAGCAAGAAGCACCCTGAAGTTGATCAAAAAAGTCATCTATCCTTGGAAGAGAATATTGTTCATGATAGTCACCTTATTCAGCTAACGCTAATCTATACATATCCGAAGGGACCCAACCTTGTTCCTCACAAACAAGATCAGAGCTCCCCAAGGTGAGACAATTGGTCAAATAAAAACTTTATCTAAAAGATCTTGTAACTTCTACATTCGCTCTATTAACTCTACTGGTAGCATTTTGTATGACGGAATAGAGATAGGACGAGTATTTGGGATGATTTTTATACCGAAGCCTATCTCACTTTTGGGAGGGACTCCAGGTAGTCATCAGGATAGACTTCTAGAAACTCACTGACTATAGGAACTGAATTAAGGGAAGATACCTCAACTAACTTAGAAATACACCTCTTGTAAACTAACTTCCTTGCCTTAAGTACAAAATGAATCGACCCTTAGGCCCTGATAAACTACTAGCCCACTCTATGACTGGATCATTAGGACTATGAAACTTGACAACTGGAGTTCTTCTTTTTATTGATGCATAACAGACATGGAGTCAGTCCATACCTAGAATAATATCAAAATCTACCATGCCTAACTCTACTAGACTAGCCATGGTACTCTTGTGACTGACAAAAATAGGACAATCACGATAGACCCTTTCTGCCTAAAATTGATTCACCAAAAGGTGTCGATACACTAAATGGTTCGATATCTAGCTCAGGAGAAATCTCAAAGTTCATAGCCACATAAGAAGTTACAAAAGATAAACTAACTCCTAGATCTAATAATGAATAAGCAATAATGTGAAAGACTCAAATCATACCAGTGAAAATATCTGGAAAATTCTTTAGTACATGGCAATTATTATGAGCATACAAGCAGTTTGTTCCTCCACCTGTTCCAGAAGTAGTTCCCCTAGGTGCAAGCTTGTTTGGTGGAGCAACTGATGAATATTGAGCTCTATTGCCCAGATTTCCACCTCCTTGCTTGTCGTTGGGGCACTCTCCAATGAAGTGACCCTCTTGGACACATTTGAAACAACCTGTGAATCCTTCATGATAGATGACAAAGTGATTCCTACCACACTTGGCGCAGGCATGAGGCTTAGTACATTCTTGCGCCATTCTACTTTTAGATTAATCCGGCCTAGCTTTGAATTTCTGCGAATTCTGGCCACTATACTCACTTCGGTTTCTTGGTACAGGTGCACTAGCAAATGATAACCATGCCATTTGGCTTATCGAATTGTGGTCAGCTTGAACCACCTTTTTTTTACCAGACTCATTCCAGTCTTAGCCTTATTGTTTCGGTACTCTTCTATATCCTTAACGTTCTCTTCTTCAACTTGTTGGATAAAAACCATCGGTATGGATATGTCCATATCACCTATCAACATGGCAACCTACCTTCCTTACTTGAAATGCGACCTAACCCTGCAATAAATAGAATCATCTACTCCTTATGTCTTTCACTGTCTTTGGAGAATAGTGAGATAGTTGGGTGAACTGTATCCCTTACTCTTGTACACTAATGGAGTCATGTTTCAGAGTAATGAACTCCCGCACCTTGGGTTCCTTCAGTTCACAAAGAAAGAACCTCCCCAAGAATGCTTCTTTGTGACAAGACCAACTTGGACGTGGTGAATGCTCAACTCTACCATCCTCCCATTTATCAAACAAGGTTATACCACACCTTTTAGTTTATATGAATGCTATTCAACCCTCTCAATATCTACCACATCCCTCTTTAACTTCTCCACAAAGTTCTCTGGATTCTCAGTAGGGCTTGATCCAGTGAAACTAGGAGGGTTCTTACTCAAAAACTCGCGAACTCTCGAGTTATCAACTCCTTCTTGTCGAGATGCTCTCTGTTGCCAAACTTGGTCGGTCACAACTTGAATTAACATCCGGGTAGCTTCCCAAAATTTGTCACTGGTAACCTCTCCTTGGTGTTACGCCTCTAGTGCATTTGGAACTGCTGGTTAATTTGCATTACTTCGTAGCCAACCTATTATTGCTCTTCTTGGAGGAATGATAATCGGAAAAATATATGTAAGCATAAATAAGTGTGAGACTTTAAAGATAAACTCTTCGCACGATAGGAACATGAAATAAAGGAAACATTACTAATGTTTTAGCGTCCTAATCATAGATGTGGCACGCTTCACGTGAATGACTAAGACAACTTCATAGACACCGTAGGATTCTTGAAACCTGGATCTAGTACCAAGTTTATCACGCCTCGAGCCTACACCCTAGGCGGGACTGGCACTCGAAGATCATTGATGAACCTCAAGTGAACCCTTGACCTGGCTTACTTAACTCAGCAGAAGACAAAAATCATCTTAAACAATAAATAACACATGTTTAAAGGAAACTACTTCATATAATATTTAGCTATGATGACACTTAAGGCTCAACAAGAAATAATAAACTCTAAATTGAAATACTAGCGTCTATGAAGCCTCTAAACTCACTGAAAAGGGATGTTGGGAAAGACCCCACAACATCCTAAAATTAAACTACTAAAAACAAAACAAATGGATATCCTCCGCATTGCATTGAGAATCACCACTGACTCTGGAGCTCAATCTGGATCAATGAAACGCTTCGTACTGATCCAAGTTACTTGCGTCTGCATCATAAAATGATGTAGTCCAACTGGCATCAGTACATTGAATGTATGAGTATGGGAGTTGGAAAACTATACAAAACTTAAGCTTTAAAGGGAGTAAGAAATAAGACTTACCTTGGCTCTGTTCAACTCATGATCCACTAACTCTTATTCAATATACGCAGTTAAAATAAATGCAATATAAAGAAATTCTGACTGATAACATGCTTAATCCTCTAAGTAATATATACAAGTACAAAACAATGTGAAACATGTATATAAAATACAATAAATAGGTTTTATGAAAATACAATAATGTTGTGTATAAAAATACAATTTTTTACCCGAGGGAGATTCTTTAATTGACAACCATAACTTAAGAGCTAGAGAGATGATATAACGGTCTACCGCATGATGCCAGCACATCCTATACCCAACCAAATTTATAGGACCTGAACTGCCTAATGGATCCACTAGTAAACTGTGAAAAAGAATTGTCTAATAAATATGACCCTTTTCTACCCATGGTGGCTAACATAATTTATGGGGCTTGTGAGTTATCTGTAATCTCCCCCATATCGGTGCTCAATACTACTCCCCAAAATATACTAGCTCATATATTTAAAAATATGATGATTCTGTGGTTTGATATTAGTGTTCAAAACATAGCTTTTTTCAAAAAGATCTCTTGGAAATCATAATTTCCTCTTTCTTCTATTAAAGCTAGCAATAGGATTTGTGAAAGTCTAAATTCCCTTCCTTCTCAAAAGTTTGAAAACATTTTGTTTAAATCCCCTAGTTCCCTTATAACTCTTGGGAAGTGAACTCAACTTGATTCTCTTTGCTTACTTGAAACTTAACTCTTAGGGAATACTTAGTTCCCTTATATCTTTTGAGAAATGAACTCAACTCTTCTTTCTTGACTTTTACTTTAATACTGTTAAACAAAGTGAAAACGTGATAAAGACTTTAGAAAATTTTATAATCTTACATTGACTCGCTTCTTAACTTTAAGACTTGGCACTTAACTTCCTTGACTTTGATCATAACTTTCTTTATATCGGATTATGGATTCAAGGATCATGATCTCAGTTTTATAGATGATTTCATGATGTTTAGATGTACTCTAGAGCGTCGTAATCAACTAAGAATGAAGGATACATCACTTAGGAACTAGTACGAAAAAATAGGAAAAAGAACGGGGTTTCCAGGGGATCCTGGTTCTCTGAGAGGCGTGGAGAGACATACACTGACGGACAGAGGCTGTCCTCCGGTGCTCGGAGAGGCGAGGATCACCTTTTTCCTGATGGACAAACTCTGTTACAGGCGCTGTGTAGGAGTGGCTCCACAACATCTCTCTAACGAGTTTTTCTACTTTCTTCTTTTTATTTCATCTCTTAACCTTCCCAAACTCCCATGGATCCCACCCCAAACACTTAGGATACCTAAATAACTTATTATACAATAGTTTATACCTAAAAACATTCCTGAAATAGGGATTGAAACAAACAGAGATCAACAACAATTGAACCAACAAGAACTTCAAACTTTTCATCAAGAACTTCAAGATATTCTTTAAATTAATGTTAAATTTCATTAATGAATTAAATTGGAGGGTGGGCGAAAGAACCCAACACCAAATGATATCAAATACCTTTTTAGGATCACCCCCGATGAAATCCACGAATGAATTCTTTGTATTCTAGCGTCTTCTTCTCCCTTCTCGTTTTTCTCCTTTCTCTCAAAGCCATAGCTTATTTTCAAAGTGTGTAAATTGACTCGTATCAGATTAAACCCAACATATTACCCAAATAATGAATTTAATAATTAACTTAAGAAAAGACTAAACACCGTTAACAAATCCAGATTTAGACTTTTTCCCTACTCAACAGCCCAACTTCCGAAAGTCATATCTCCCTATGCCCTAGGAAATTCGCAAACTTGGCAAAGTGGGAAAGATCTTCCGATGCAATTTCATCCATATAAAGAACTCACCAAAACTCTTCTTGAGCTGGGAATTATAGTCATTTTCCTTACTTATTTCCAAATTTGGGTTTTCTTGTTTTTCTTAGGTTAACCTTAGCTTATCTAGAGTAAGAGGTTTTACAATATATCCCCCTTGGGAAAATTTGTCCTCGATGGAGAATTCTTTTTCTAAGATATGTATACTAATTATAATTTCATCACTCAACAACAAAAGTAAGTAGTAACATGATTATGCATAATCTTATAAAGTGCTAAGAAGAGGGTTTAGTACCTTGATTTGCATTCTCTCCGGATTCAAAGAGATGTGGATATCTCTTCTTCATATCCTCCTGTGCTTCCTAAGTGGCTTCTTCAACAAATTGTTTCCTCCAACGAACCTTGACTGAAGCAACTTTTTTTGTCCTCAACTTGCAAACTTCACAATTCGAAATATGGACCGGAAGTTCTTCATCGGATAAGTTGTCCTTAATCCCCACATTCTCTATCTGTACTATCAATGAAGGATCACCCAAACACTTTTTCAACATTGAAATATTGAATACTTGATGAACCTCTTCTAACTCTTGGGGTTGCTCCAACTAATAAGCCACATTGCCCACTCTATTGGATTCTATAAGGCCTAATATACCGGCTACTAAGTTTCTTCTTCTTACCAAACATCATAACTCTTTCATAGGTGAAACCTTAAGATATACCCAATTGTCTACCTCAAACTCTAATGTCCATCTTCTAACAACGATTTAGGACTTTTGGCGACTTCGTACTGTCTTCAACCTTTGTTGAATTACTTTCACCACCTCCATATCTTGATGAACTAAATCTTGTCCTATCAACCCTGATTCACCAACATCAAAACACCCAATAGGATATATGCATATTCTCCCATAAAGAGCTTCATACGGGGCTATTTGGACGCTCAAATAATACCTATTGTTGTAAGCGAACTCGTTGAGAGGTAGGTCATCATCTCAATTTCCCTTGAAGTCGATCGCACAAGCTCTCAACATATCTTCTAAGGTTAGGATAGTAAGTTCTGCTGGTCCATCTTTCTGAGGATGAAAAGCTGTGCTCAAATTCACGTTGGAACCTAAACCTTTTGGGTATGATTTCTAGAATTGTGAAGTAAATTATGCATATCTATTTAAAATAATGGAGATTGGAAATCCATGAAGTCTTATGACTTTTTCAAGGTACAACTTAGCATAATCCTCATGTACTGACTCACAACTATCCCCCTAGAAGTTTGGAGAATCCTTGGATCATCACAAGACGTAGTTGATCCTTTGGGTTCTTCTACAAGCCTTTTTAACTATTGTTCATTACATAAGTCATGAAGAGTAGTGTGGAATTAAAACTTTTCATGTGATTTAATATAAAAAGGAATTATTTCATATATACTAAGAAAATCTCATCGTCACAAGCCAAACACAAAGCGAAAACATAATATCTTAGGGACACGACCCTTTACATTTGAAAGAAACTACATAATAAGTCTTAATGACAAGATTAAGAAACATAGATTATG